CAACCGGTCTCCTCGCACGCACTGCATCTCCGCCGCCGCCGCCCGCGCCACCAGCACCTCGTCCGCCCCCGAGCAGCACTTCCGCACCGCCCGCACGGGCGACACCGCCGCCACCAGCGCGACGACGAGGGCCAGCGCGGCCCGCCGGCCCGACAGCCGGGTCCTCCTCCGCATGGCTCGCAGACGCGGTCCCGGTCGCACTGAGAGCGGGTGCCGCGAGGCGCGTGGAGAGAGAGGCGGGCGGGCCCTCGACGGCGACGCGCGCGCCGCGCGCGGGGTCGGCGGGAACTAGGCGGGCCGATGACGCGCGATTCGCGGAAGCTGGCTGGAGGATCGCTTCCTCGATCAGGAGGTGGAGGAGCAGCGCTGTGACGTCCTGTGCGGGTGTTTATTGATTTCGCGCGCGATGCAGGATGTGTAATACGGCTGAAAATTATTTGAACTCATTAGTCCGGTTTCAAAAAAAATATCTTCCTTGTTCCTCGTTTCCATCGTTATTTATTCATTATCAATGATGTTGACTATTATTTTCATCTTTGTTTCCTGCTTTATTTATTTACTACTCCCATCCTCGTCCCACCTACGTGAATGTCTGGAAGAGGATGACTTGACATCGATCAGGTGAAGATGGGACAGGTGAAGATGTAACGGGTGCGTCGTCCTGTGCATGTGATTATTCTTTTGCTCAAAAAACAAGACAATGTAGTTAAAAATTATTTGAACATATTTTTCAGTTTTGGAAAATTATATTTATTTTTTTCTCTTCCATGTTTCTTTTATTGTTTATACATTAACAATATTGTCGACAATATGTCCTTTGTTTCCTTCTTTATTATTTCATTTATTTTTATCACTGCCTGCCTCGTATCAGCTATGTTAAAACGTGTACATTAGGATCACTTAACATCGATCTGTGATGTGAAGCGGGAAGGTTAAAATTCATTAGTTAATAATCATTTGATCTCATTTAAAAGTTTTAAAATAGTTCTTTCTTTTTCTAGTTCGTCGTTTCCTTCGTTATTTATTCATTGATGTCGATAATATCAGTATATTATAACCGTCTTTTTCTTCTTTATTATTTCATTTATTTTCACTGCTTTCCTCGTTCCACCTACGCGAAAACGTCTGCATGAGGATAACAACGATCCACGAGGTGGAGCAAGAGGGACGCCCTATGTTGCCTATTGGTTTCACGCGCGATACGTAATATGTATTATACTTAAAACTGTTTGCTCCTTAAGTTAATGACGACTGTTGCTAGACAAAATTCACGAGAAAAAATCATAAATATTCGACATTTAGAAAGAGGCAATACTCCTTTCTTTCTTTCTTTCTTTTGCCTCATTCCTTATTAATTTAATTATTATATCGTTAACCATAACATCGCCAATAACAGAACTGTATTCCTTATTTATTTATTTACTTATTTTTTATTCCTGAACGCTGCCTCACTTCCTTGAAAGAAAAGGCGGATCTATCGAGACGTCCTCAACTGCTGTTTGTTGATTCCGCGAGAGAAGCAGAATACTAAAGTCAATTAAAAAAAGGGGGCTTATATTTGCCATTTTTCGAAAATGAATGGCAACTCTAATTACTGTAATTGACTCTTAGATCGCGAGAGCAATTTAACCTGAAAAATCCTGAAGACTCTTAAAGTATTAGCGAGTAATAGGGTTTCTTTTATAATTTTTTATTAATTTATTTCTTTATCTTTCATTTATTTTGTAAGATAAGTGTCCTTTCTTGCCACCACCAAGCAATTTGTGTGTAATAAAAAACGTCTGCAACTCACCAAAATACAGTCGACTCTGAACGTTGTACTTGGATACAGAGAACTTTCGTTTGGGACAAAGTCGCCGGACGGGATCCAACACATTACAAATAAACACTAGATAATTCAGTTATAGGGAACTCTCATTGGCTCTAGAGAACATAAGACTACAACTTTCGGGAAGAAATATTTCGCCTCTGGTCGGCTAATTCCTGTAACACTAAGAGTTTCCAATTTCCAGGTTGTATGAATTAATTTTGTTGCATTTTTAGCGGATGAAAAGCAATGAGGGAGTGCATAAATGAGGAAATTGTTTGAGCTCATTTACAGCAATTCTGTTGAGCCTGAAACGTCGACGCGGACTGCAAGAAGAAATCAAATGAAATCCCATTACGACATCGTAAATGCAGTGAAAAGAGATTCCAGAATGGAATCAAACAAGTGAATGTCAAAAGAGGATACAGATGAACAAGGGGTTCTGACTGTTCAAGTGTCAGTCAAGAGTATCAAGATTATACTAAAGAAGTATTTTGACTAAGAACACTGAAGAATCAAGCGTGGAGAAAGTACAGACTCCGGAGAAAAATATAATCTGCTCTTCATTTTAATTCTAGCATTCCAAATTACGGTTTATCAGCTAGTCGTTCACAGACGGACGGACGGACCTACCGACAATCGATTTTGCGGTATCAAGAGCCAACGAAACGTTCTAACCACACAACGTGTTTTCCCATTTTCGGATGTAGTGAACCTCGGGTAGAGTTAACAAGCAATTAGTCCCTTGTCGTTCATAACTTAAGTTGACTGTCCTCTTCATTTTTCGACGAAAAATAACTACATTTAGGATACTTTTTTCTGCGGGATAAAAATGCATTTCGGTAATTCACAAAGCACCAAGTTTAAAATATGACACGTAATAATAATCATAATTAAACAGTTCGATACATTACTCAAACCTTATATTTTTATTGAAGCCGGTTATTTTGAATTTCGGGAAAAATTAGAGATTTGTGAAATAAATGAGTGAATGAAGTAAGGCATACATTCTTGGAATCCATTCCAAACAAAAGTTGTCATTTACAATCTTAGAGGTTTAATTACATTATTTGCATTTTATTAGTCGTTTCTAAGATATATTAACAAAACCAAAGCAAATTGACGTATAATTGTTTTTTACGTTAAATAGTCAAATACTAGAACCCTCTTTGTTTCGCTTTGATATTTAGTTTCTTCATTAATTTAAATATTGTAGAACTTATAAAATCAAAATTTTACAATAATACCAATAGAAAAGGGAAATAAGTTCAATATCTGTCTGAAAAACTCAGTCTCCAGGGATTTGATTGAACTTAATAGGGGTTTATAAATAAGATAAATAAATAAATCCTAGAAGTAACATTAACCATAAAAGAATGGGAAGTACCCATGCAAGACTTTTCAGGAAGTAAGTCGATCTTCACGTGCATCACTTCGCAAATATTTGAGTCATTTATTGGGCAAATCCACAAGTAATTATGGCACTACTCTCAAGAATCATATTTAAAAATATTGGCAACTAGTTCAATTTTAAAATTCGTTTTTAGATTCTCTTTGATATTCTTATAAACAATAACATTTATTCTAATGATATTGTTGATTAACAATGGTATGTCGTGGATTATTTTCAGGTAGCATACAACTAGGCAAAAATACTATTAAGTCGATCGCTTTAAAATTCAGAAATCCGCAGTAATATAACATTCAAAACCTTTTTCATTTGAGACTGTATTCCAATCGGACAAAATTACATGTTACTTAATTCTTAGATTAATTAGCGAGTTATTTTGTATTTAGTTCTTAAATAAATTTTATGCGAATTCACAAAACATATTAACGCTTTTATTTATCATATGATAAAAGGTCCGATAAATACATAAATACTTAATATCTAATATTTGTTCATAAACCTGTCGACTGGATATAAATCATTTTGTTACTGATAGAAATAAAATGGTTGTCTTATTCCCAAAGAAGGAACGCATCCTCATAAAATATATCAACATTTTATCTTCTACATTACTCTTCAGAAACATATCAAGATCGAAGCCTCTTCCTTTTCGTTAGTAAATGTATTTCAGTTTTGTTTCAAACTGTCATTTTTGTTAAATGTTATACCACTTCGGCACATTTGTTTTTTCTCATTACTTCAAAATAAAATTAAGAAAATAGAATAAAATAACAGATTTCACTATTAATGAGCTTGTAGATATTAAGACATTAATATCAATGCAGTTTTGAACAAAAATACAGTTATTTTTATTTTTATTATTATTTGAACAAAAATACGATTAGTTGCTTCATTATAATATTTCCCCAATCCCATGTTTCAGAAAATCCATCACGAAATATTTACTGAAATATCTTTGATATCCTAAAACACTCAGCATCCAATTTTAGAAAGTAATTTTTATTATTTCTTGTTCTTGAAGAGAACAATACATGGCTTGATGCAAATTGTCCCCAACCTTTTCGCAAAAAACTAATTTGACATTCAAAAATAACCACTCATTAAAGAAGAATTTTCATTACAATATTCCCTCTCTGAAACAGATCACTAATTCAAAATATTATTTTCATTTATTTTATTTCGAGTAATTAATATTTTCAATTTTTACATTGCGATTTTGATATTTGCATTTTTATTTAACAGTATTTTTGGTGTATATCGTTTCCATTTTTGTACCCAATTCCTTCGCTTTGCCTACGTCCGCGTGGTCCTCTCCCGGTTCTTGTCCCTGGGCGAGGAACGGACCTTGGTGGAAGACCCGCGGTCAGGCCTGTGGCTGCCGCCGGTGTCCGAACCCGGGTCCGTCGTCTCGATCTTCGTCTTCTTCACTCTGGTGGACTTCTTCGTCTTGGTGACCGTCACTTCCGGGGAGCTGGAACTCGAGCTGGAGCTCCTCCTGGTCGGCTCGTACCTGCTCGGGCAACAGCGCGGGTCCCCAAACGATATCCGTCTTAGTAAAGCGCTTCTGGGATGGAATATGGGTGGCGTACTAGCTTCCCGTGATGTGGCCCTGGGTTTGATTCCCTGCCGAGGCAAAAATAGAGATGGTGGGTTTCTTTAAAGACGTCTCAGTTTCTGTAGCTGTTACTAGGCAGGCGGAGTTCGCTAGTTAGAGTGAAGGGAATACGTCATGTTCGCCACATTCAATTCCAAGAGAGAGTAAGAGTAAACTTGGCTTAGACATGGGGGACACTCATAGCTAGACGGCAAAGTGGTTCACTGGACCCAAAATGCCAAATTCAATATAAAGTAAAGTACACAAAACCATCCATTTTTATACGATATATCAGAATAAATGTTCCAAACTTGTATTGCGTGTAGAGGGGACGAAAATGGCAACTTTTGGCCAATGAACAT